CTAATTACCATATAAATTTGAAGGCCTGATGAGAATTCTCGAAAACAAATGTGTGTTCGCCAATTCATCTTCTGGTTTGTTTAATAACTTAAATAATTATCCCCTTTATTTTCTAGTTTCACACGCTCTACTTATTTGATCATTTCTTCTTTCTCCTGATATGCTCCATCATTGTCACCTTTAGTAACATCCGTGCCATATAAGTAAAAGATGAGGTTTTCGCGTGCCTTAATTGAACCGTTACCGGCGCTATTTCTGTTTACTGACCGTGAAATCGTTTCCTTTACCCATCGCCTTTGCAGAAACATAAATTGTTATTTCAATTGGAACATCGGCATCCCAGAAAGTATAATTCGGGAGAAGAAGTACTTTGGGAAACAGTGGTTTATTGGGTGTATTTTTCGACACTGGAGCCCCAATGCGCCTTCCGACAAAGAGAAAAGTGGATGTGCCAAAAACAGCTAACAGCTAACATCGAGAGTTCTTGGGAAAATCGATACTACCGTGGCGTGGCGCTTGCGTTTGTAACCTGTTGACATGTGTTTCATTCCGTTCGAATTGCCTTGCGTCTCGCCCAACTAAATGTGTTTGTTTATGCATTGTGCGCCCGAGTGCAAAGCTTCGAGAAATTCGCGGTCGCTCTAGTACAGACAAGATCAAAGAATGCAGGTTTCGTCTCATGCAAACTGGTGTCCAACTTCTAATCTAGATCCCAAAACAAAGTTGTAAACCTATCCTGCAAAATCCTAACAAATGCAAAAAAAAAAGGTGCTAAAAAAGGCATGAAGTACAATCCCATGTATTCCAATTACCTCGACTTCCTTGCCAGCTTCGAATCGATCATAACATCAGCCAATCTAACCAAAAAAGAGCTATTCACAATTCTTAACAGCACTGGTCCTGCCTCGAAGAAATGACGTAAACATTCAACATTATCATACGATGAAAGAAAGGCGCTAAACTCACTTAAAAAGACAAAGCTATCATCATTTTACCCGCCGACAAGGGAGGTGCTACCAACATTATGAACAATATTGACTACATAGATAAGATGACGTCACTCTTAAAGGAAGAATCAACATACAGACTTCTGCCAATAGAGGAGAATATACGAGTTCCAGGCAGCAGTTCCGAAGAAGA